AAAGACACAAAATAGAACAGAATTATAAATGAACCCAATGTCCCCAAACTGCAGGCAGAGAGGCCAGCTATTCTCTTCACGGCTGACTTCGCACGCGGTGTGTGCCAAGGACCTCCAGGAGGTTTAACCCCGTGGGGACGATACCTCGGGTCTGGTTTCTGCCAGGTGACTGGCATTGTCTCGCAGACTCCACTGGAGTGGTCGTGGCAACTGACCTTATGTGTGTTACGTTCTGGACAGTATTAGCATTGGCTCAGTACTTTGTAGTTTCTCTGTTTGCTCCTTAACTTCAACTTTTGTTTTTCTATTCTGTGTTCCTATAGATGAGTGTTTTGTGTCTGTACAGGTGTTCTTATGGCCTTGCCTTTATTTGTGATCACTGCAGCAGCTCTGAGTCCTGATTTACTTGAAGTTCAGAATTAGAAGTTATTCTCTAGTTTTAGGCCCCAGTGAGTTCTAATGAAATAGCCTGCGTAAAATAGAACTGAAACACTCAGTGAGTACTAATTCTACTCTATGTTCTTGTGATTCTTTTTAAAAAAAATATTGTTTGTGGTCATATTATGAGAAACTGATCTTCCCTGGCGTATAACCACCCAGCCACATCCATGTATACCAAGTTCGAAGAGTGCTGTATAAAAAAGGGGCAGCTGCTTCAAAGTTTTTTCCAAATGCCATGTATTTTCCCTAACATTAATTTATTTTTGCCTTTTCCCTCTCATTGGTAAAGTTATATTCTCACTAGAAAAATTTCATTAATATATAAATGTAAAAAAAGTAAAGAAGAAATCACCATGCCTTCAAATGTAATGCATATCCTTCAGGTTATGTGCTTTTTCTATATGTATATACATGTAGATATTTATATGAAAAATTTTATGCACAGTGTTTTGCAGTCTGCTGCATTTACCTGTCTCCTTTCTGATTCAGAAGTTGTTTCCTTATGATACCTTACCTGATTCTTTCCTTTAGATTTCTGTCAGTGTCTCCCTCTAATATACTGTAAGCTAGCTAGCTTGCTTGCCTGCTTGCCTGCCTTCTTCCTTTCTTTCTTTCTTTCCTCCCTCCCTCCTTTTCTTTCTTTCTCTCCTTCCCTCTTCCTCTCTTTTTTTTCTTTTCCTTCCTTCCTTTTCTTTTTCTTTTTTTGTTTTTCTGACAGCGTCTCACTGTGTAGTCCAGGCTGGCCTTCAACTTGTGGCAATCATCCTGCCTCAGCCTCATCCCGAGTGCTGGGATTACAGGCGTGTGCCATCATACTCCACAGTAGTTCCTTGTATATTTAAATGTAAAGTGTTTATTTGCTTCAGGTTCAGGGCCTTTTTAGATGTATGAATAAAACATTTTTAAACACATACCTCCATTTCTTCTGTCCTGGTACCTGTACTGTTCCAAAGCAGTTGATCCTGTTTCAAACATGAATCATCATTTTTTAAATAACCAATTTCTAAAATACCAGTGTCTTTCAAGGAAGATAGTGGCAAGCCTAAATTCTCCAAAAACTGAACTGTCAACCCAAGAATCCAAGACCAGTGATGAAAATGTTTTCTGCTGACTCTTGGATCATAGATTGTTTTAGTCTATGGTAGCTTAGACAGTTTTGTAGTGTAACAAACTAATCCTAGGAATAAATATTGAAAGAATGGATGTTTTGGTTTAATTCATCAACAGCACTGGGAAAAAGAATAGTGCAAAATCATGCATCCTCATGACGAGTCAATAATAATTTAAATTTAATGTTTTATTAGTAACAGTTTATTATATAAGTACCGTGCGCTAACTGATTGCGCCCCTGGATCTCCTGAAATACGTAATAGTTACATTCATCCTGGGGACTTAGTACATGCACTGATTGCTTCTTGATCATTTTTACTCCCGCTTCTCCTGAACTTTAATTTTCTCAGACTGTGATCTCCTTGGTGGTGTGAGGGGTGTCGACGTTAGAGCTGAGAGGGAGAGGTCTTGGATTCTCAACTCTAGTTGTGAAACATGAAAATGAGCGATTGTGGCTCATATTAATTACGTACAGATAGAAAGTGACGTTTTAGATTCTGCCAGTTCTTTGATATTTTTTAAGACTAGGCTTTGATATGTAGCTTTGATATGTAGCTTTGATGTGAGTTCTTGGTTTAGGTGGTTTGGTATATGAAGCTGTTATAAATGATTAAAATTGCGGAACCACACAACCACAAATATAATAATATAATAATAAATTTCATATTTTTCCAGGTTTGTATCAGTAATTAACAGTCATTTGCCTTTCTACTTTTGATTTTTCTTCTAATTTTCAACTTTCTGGGAGCATCCTAAATGAATATTTAGATTTCAGCTATATTTATTCAGTTTAAAAAGCTGCATGCTACTTTTTTGTGTGAGAGATGAAAGAAAACTGCCTACTCTAGGCTCTTAGTTGTCACCTCTTTAGAACAGACATCAGTATAGGATTCTTTACCAGATATAAATTTACTGGGGTTTTTTTCCTATTCAGGAGTTAATAATACCTGTTTATTTCTGGTTTTCCTGCCTTCCTGAATCATTTCTGTAAAGCTGAACTAATAGAATTTTAGCATTGGAAGAGATATTGAAGGCCATTTAACATATAATTTTCCCCCCAATTATAAAATTCCCTTCAGTAGTAATCTTTTTTTTGGGGGGAGTGGTACCGGGTATTGAACTTGGGACCTTGCACATGTGAGGCAGGCGGTGGAACCACTGAGCTAAATCCCTGGCCCTTCAGTAATTTTTGTAGTAGATAATTTTCCATACTTTGTTTAATTATTTCCAAAAATGAGGAACTTGGGTGGCTTTTTAGATAATGCATACTTTTATTAAGTAAATTTTTTTTTGTTACCGGCATTGAACTTGGGACCTTGTACTTGTGAGGCAGGCAGCGGAACCACTGAGCTAAATCCCCAGTCCCTATTAAATAATTTTTATAGTTTGAAATAATTCCTTTTACTGAGTCAAAATATATATCGCTGTACTCTTACTTATCAGTAGAGATCCTGACTCTGGATCCACAGGGAGTAAGTGTATGTAAGGACATAATTTACCCATCATAAATAATTTCTTGCTGGGCATGGTGGCACACACCTGTAATCCCAGCACTTGGGTGGCTGAGGCAGGAGGATCATTGTGAGTTCGAGACCAGCCTGGGTTTCATAGTGAGTTCCAGGTCTGTCTCAACTACATAGTGAGACCCTGACTCAAAGACCAACCAACTAAACAAACAAAATAAATAAATAATTTCTCTACCTTCCTGCTTCTCTCCCCAGCTCTTTAGACACCAATTTATTTACCTGTTCCTTTCGCAGTGTTCTAGTCTTTGGGAAAAATTAATCCATTGTAATAAGAATTATTGGAGTTGGGTGTGCTGGTGAGTGCTACTCAAGAGGCTGAGGTAGGAGGATTGAAAGTTCAAGGCCGATTTGGGGAACTTTGCAAGACCCTGTTTGATACTAAAAAACAAATAGGCCAGGGGATGTTTCTCACTCCTGCATTTTATCCCCAGTACCACACAGAAAGAAAGAAGGGAAGGAGGCAAGGAAAGAATTCTTGGGAAATTGTTTCATGTTTGCTGCTGGTTTAATATCCATGCATAGTATGTTTTTAGCTTTACGTAATTAAATAACTTAAAGGAATAGAAGATTTTCTTTTGATAGTTTCAAGTTGAAAATATACAAAGAATAAAATGGTAAGATGAATTTGTTGGGTGTGTAGTTTACAGTAAGAGGGATAAACATCTCTGACTCTATCTGTTCTGTCATCTCACAGTCTAACTACAGAAGGATAATTATACTTCATACTGCTTGTGAGGAAAAGAGACTAGCTCCTCCTGAAAATAATTGTTATTTTTGTTTTGCCATTGTGAAGTTAGTAGAAAAGAATGCAATGATTATTTTAAAGAGACCTTTAAATATTTTGGTCAAATACAAGTAAAATACAGTTCATGATGGAGCCCTTTCTCTGTGTAATACATGGTAGGACGGTAGTTGAAGTAAAGTATTAAGTGGGTCATATATCAAATTCAGTCTATTTTGTGTTCTTTGGAGGACAGTTGTACAAGCCTTTTAGAACCACATGGCAAGGGCCGGGAATTTAGCTCAGTGGTTCCGATGCCTGCCTCGCAAGCACAAGGACCCAGGTTCAATCCCCAGTACCAAAAAAACCAAAAGGGTACCTCCAAGAACCACATGGCAAGCTGGGCGTGGTGGCTCATGCCTGTGATCCCAGCACTCAGGAGGCTGAGGCAGGAGGATCTCTGTGAGTTAGAGACCAGCCTGGGATACATAGTTAGTTCCAGGTCAGTCTCAACTACATAGTGAGACCCTGTCTCAAAACAAACAAACAAAAAAAAACAAAACAAAAGAACCACATGGCAGCTGGTTTGAAAAGTTACATTTTTTTCTTTTTTTTCCCCACTGAAGAAAATGATGTATTACTACCTTTCTTTTTCCCCATGGAAACATTTCAAATATGTAGAGTTTTTCTAAAAGAAAGTTTTTTTAGCTGCTTTGAAAGGGATTAAAGATTTTATTGGGGCGTTTTGGCTAATGCTGTCGTATTTTTGTAGAGTATCATAATTTAAGTACCATTATCCTTAATCACATTTATTTTTAAGTTTACTTTTTAGAGTTTTAGTGTGTTAGCACATGTGTGTAGTATATGTTTGCATTCCTTGTGGGAAGTTGGTACATGTACATAATATATCTTATTTCCTTTTCACCTTTCCCTTACCTTCTTTCTCTTTCCACTCATCCCTTGATCCCCATTCTTCTTTTCTTTTTCTTTTTGGTCCATGTTTACGGTCCATGCTGTTTATATTCCTTGAGTGGAGTGGTACCTGTCCAGAAGACGTCCCAGTCCCTTCTTTTATCCCTTACCCTTTCCTTTCCTCCCTCCCCCTTCCCCTTTGAAAACAATCTACCTCTCTCTTCCTATTAACTGTGTTTTATTTTGCTCTTTATTTTTATTCTGGGCTTTTCATTTAAGAGAAACCATGTGATATTTAAGCTTGTGTGTCTGATTTATTTCACTTAATATTATGGTCTCAAGGTGCATCCATTTTCCTAAATGATTCAAGTTTATCTTTCTTTATGGCAGAGTAGTACTCCATGGTGTGTATGTACCACATTTTCTTTATCCATTCGTGTGTTGATGGGCATATGGGCCACTTTGAAGATGTGAGACAAGGTTTCGCTATGTAGTTCAGGCTTGCCTTAGACTCATTAGCCCAGGCTGGCCCTGAACTCATGGAGATCCTCCTGCCTCAGTCTCTCGATTACAGGTGTGCACCCCCACACCTGGCCACATTAATTTTTATAACATTCATTATTGTCTGGTTATATAATTTATTCATAGACAGTATAAAAGAAGACCATATACCTGGGGGCTGGGAATTTAGCTCAGTGGTACTGTACCTGCCTCATAAGCACAAGGTCCTGAGTTTGATCCCTGCTACTGGAAAAAAAAAAATAGAAGACCATATCCCTAACACTTTACTGTAAACAGTGAGTATGTAATTTTTCTAGCTCTTTTTTCTAAGCTTTTCCTATTTTAGAAACATTTTTCTATTTTGGAAAACTAAAAGGCATCATTTTTTAATCCTAGAAAAGCTAGTAAGTAAATTATCTCAGATTTTTTTGTGTATAATTTAGTGATCTACTTATTTTCATTTACAGCTATATTTTCCATAAGTTTCTAATCTTTTTTTTTGGTGCTAGGGATTAAAATCAGGACCTTGTGCTTTCAAGGCAGGTGCAGCGCCACTGATCAAAAGCCCTGGTCCTCCACTCACTAACTTTTACTCTGTTTGATGTGTGTTGGAGATCTTTTGTTCTTGGAAAAGCAGGGTCTTAAAATCTTATTAGTCTTAGGGTTAGAAGAGTTGTTCTCAGAGTGGGTGTAGGTTTTCCTAGAGGTCTCCGAGATCTTTTCACAAAGGTCCTTGAAATATAAACTGTTTTCACAATAGTTCTGAATGTTATTTGCCTTTTCAGCCCTTATTCTCATGGATATACAGTGGAGTTTTCTAGAGGCCTCATGATGTGTTCTGATGCAACAGTCTGAACATTCAGAGTACAAATATAGCCGGTTTCTGGGAAGCCTGACATTAGGAGATTGCAAGAAGAAAACAGTGTCACTCTTCTCACTAAGTTGTTTTTGTTTTAGAATGTACTTTCCAAAAGATTATTGTTTCAGAAAAGTACTTCAGTTACATGCAATGAATTTTTTACTACTTTTTAAATGAGTGAATACATACTTTAACATTTCTCTTAATCTCTAATATAGTAAGTATTAGTACCTGTAACCTACACAAAATGAAAGCTTTTTAGGACCCCCAGTAACTTGTCAGTATGTAAAGAAGTCCATGTTCCACAAGAATGAGAACGACTTGATTAGAAAGAGATGAATGGGACTAACGTAGATGCTTCTTAACGTGCTCTGCTTGAGCACTGTGTCCCTGTTCAGCAGTCACCCTTTGTTTAGCAGATATCAAGAGATTTAAGTTCTATTTCTGTCCCAGACTCTTCTCTAAAAGTAAGAAGCGTGTCTGTTAAATAACAATTCTTCTTTTTGTGTTTTTTTTTCCTTTTTAGATTTGATGGTAGAGTGGTGGCAAAGCTCCCTTTCACCCCTCTCTCTTACATCCAAGGCCTGTCTCATCGGAACCTGCTGGGAGATGACACCACAGACTGCTCCTTCATCTTCCTCTATATTCTCTGTACAATGTCAATTCGGCAAGTAAGTGACCCTGTGTATATCCCTCCTTGCTTACCTTTTACTTCTGTAATGCTAGAAATGTATATCTGTTGCTCCCAAGATCCTGCTGTTGCTCATTGTAGCATTCTAGTGCATCATCCTAAAGCTATTTTTAAAACATAAAAATGTGGATTACTAATCCTTAGGGGTGAGAGGTTATGATAAAACCAGACACATGATTTCCACACACCATTCTTACAGCCCTTGAGTTCCTTCTTTGTTGCATCCATCCAAAACTACAAAAGTAAGGATTGAATTTGTTTTCCACTATCATTTCTTACCTGTACATCACTGCCTTTGTTAGTTCAGAAGCACCAGTGATTTGGCGATTTTAGGCTAATCACAGTTGAGATAAAGTCTGGGTTGTAGTATATTTTCATCTTGCCATCTTGATTAATGAACATTCATAGTGAAAAACAGTGAAAGCAAAGAGGAAGGTATGAAAGTTGATGAGTTCAGAAAAGAGACCCAACGTTGAATAGGTGAGGAGAGGTTCACTGTGTGAAGTCACTCTGGAGATGGGACTTTGGACAGGAAAGGAACAGTTAAAGTCTTCAGAGTATTATTCAGTTCCTAAGCAACTGCCATTCTACAAGTGTTAGAGTGGAGAAGTTTGTGCTTGCACTAAGTAGGACATAACTCTTTCAGTATTTATTACACAAGTGATTCTTCCAGAGTCATCTTTTCTTCCTCTTCTGATTACTGTCTGTGGTGATGGATTTCTGGTTAGTCTGGCATGTGAATGATAATTGATGGCTCAGAAAGGTAGTGTTGCTGTATGTTCTTCTCAACTCATCTCTCACCACATCCCAGGAATGCAGTGCTCTGGCCACGCTGACCTGCATCACAGCGTTCTGTTGGCTCCTTTTTTCTTCTCTCCAGATGCTTCCCTCTTCTGTTAAATGCGGTCCAGCCTCAAGGCTTCCTGGAATCATTTTTCTGACACTGAGGCATAGATATAAGAGGAGCATGACTAAATGCAGAAATATCAGAAGAGTTACAACAGTCGAGCCAAAAATGTTATGTTCCACACTGTAACAGTGTTGAGAGAGTTGGAAAGGAAGAGACAAGCTGAAAACAACCCTGGAGGCAAAACCAGCAGAACTTAGTGATTGATTTCATGTGAGGGAAGGGGAGAAACGAAAATGACGCCTAGGTTTTTGGCTTTGTGAGCAAGGGGACGGTGGCTTGACCGAGAGGTTGGGAGAAGAAGGGAGGGAGGAGGTTGGTTAGAAGACACGCAGACTTGGCAGTGGTTGTGGAGCATTGACCTGGGGTCCCCACCAGGAGGTTACACTCTTGGTAGCTGAGGTCCTTTTGAAAATGTCTCTTGGTTTACCCAACATCATTTGATCTCTGTAGAATATTGTCCTTTCATTTGATTAAGTTCCAAGTTTTCAAACTGTAGCTTGTGTTGACATCTTGAAACACAATGATGTGTAGTTTTTACTTTAAGCCACAAAGAGCCTGGCACGGTGGTGTACATCTGTAATGTCAGCACTCTGGCAGGCCGAGGCAGAAGGATTGCAAGTTCTAGTCCAGCTTGGGCAGTTTAGTGACATCTTGTCTCAAAAAGAAAAAAAATGTAGGGCCAGGGGTTTAGCTTCACAAATTCAAGGTCCTGCTGGGGATTTAGCTCAGTGGTTTCAGCACCTGCCTTGCAAGCACAAGGACCTGAGTTCGATTCCCTGTACCAAAATAAACCAAATGTGTACAAATTCAAGGTCCTGAATTCGATCCCCAGTATCGAAAAAAATGTAAACAGTTCTGGGGATGTAGCTCAGTACTAAGGCCCTGGGTTCAATCCCCATTACCACCAAAACAAAACAAAAGCCTTTTTAATTCCGTGTAGATTTTAGGTAGCTCACGATAGTCATTTTAGATAATGTTATTTACATTGTGGTGGCTCAAAATCCCAGTCCTTAGGAGGCTGATGCAGGAGAATCCCCTCAAGTTCAAGACCAGCTTGTACTATAAAAGGAGACCCTATCTCAAAAAACAAAGCAAAAAAAAAAAAAAAAAAAAAAAAAAAAAAAAGATGAAAATGAGATACATGTTTAAGAATTATCATTTAGGAAGCTCAACTCAAGTTGGTTTTAACACTCATTTCAGTTATTTCAGAAAGTAAAATAAATCTAGTAGTTGTTTTTTTCAGGATGTAGTTCTCGCAATGGGTTGAGAAGCTTGTTCTGCAAGGGTTTCTAAATAATAAAATCTTTTAGGATTTGTGGACCATAGAACCTCTATCTTTACTATATAACTCCACCATTGTAATATGAAAGCAGCTATAGACAATACATAAAAAGATGTAATTCCAACACTCAGGAGGCTGTATCAGGAGGATCACCACAAATTAGAGGCCAGTGTGGGCTACATAGTGAGTTCACAGCCAGTCTGAACTACATAGAGACCCTGTCTCAAAAAAAAAAAAAAAAACCAAACAAACCAAACCAAACAAACAAACAGATGGTTTTCCAAGCTGTAACTTCATTTCTTGAAAAATCATTGCAATTATAGGTGTGTTGAGTACATTTAAAATTATTTCTGTTATACTAATCATTTATGAAAGAAGCAGATCAAGCAAAGCTGAAATTTTAAAACTAAAGAAACATTATGATGTATTCCTAATTCACATAGGTATAGGCAAGTGTAGTTTTTTTCTTTTTTTTTTTTGGTTTTTTGAGACAGGGTCTCACTATGTAGTTGAGACTGACCTGGAGCTCACTATGTAGCCCAGGCTGGTCTTGAACTCACAGCGATCCTCCTTCCTCAGCCTCCCGAGTGCTGGGATTACAGGCATGCGCCACCATGCCTGGCTGAGTGTAGTTCTCATCTACCATGCATTTTTCAAATTCTTTTATGTTATTGATTATATGAGTCATCATTGAGTTTAAGAGCTTTCAAGAAAAAGCAGAAATACTACTACTCAGGTTAGAGAGTTGATTTTAAGACATTGCTGTCTCAGAAACCTTAAAGTGGTAGGAGGAGAGGAGGAATAAATTACAAGATTAAAGAAATCCAGCACCTAGAGATAGAACATTAAAGTTTGAACCTTGTTGCCTCTTGATGACTGAGGATCCTCTTTGAGCCTCAGTTTTTACAAAGGTGAAATCAGGCTTGGAGTACAATTTCTCTATATTGGCCAAGCATGGTGCTGCATGCTTGTAATTCCAGCAGTTGGGAGGCTGAGGCAGGAGGATTCCTGTGAATTTGAGGCCAGCCTGGGCAACCTAGTGAGTTCAAGAGCAGCCCACACTACAAAGTGAGAAAGACCCTGTCTCAAAAAATTAAAAAATAAAACAAAATCTCTCCATAATGAGACAAGCAGATAGCAATAATATAGAAGTATTATGACTTGGTTGGGGTTTTTTTGTTTGTTTGGGGGTGGGGTTGGTACCAGGAATCAAACTCCGCCTTGTGCTTGCCAGGTACGTGCAACATTCCTGGCCTGAGTTGGTTGTTTTTAAGATCATATTTTTTAAAAATCAGCCAATCCCCACCTTCCCAACATACACACACACCCACACGCTCATGTACACACTCACGTG